AAAACAAAAAAACTTTTATTATAAAGACATTTGTACTAGGCTGTTTATTGCAGCCCAATTTACAATTGCTAAAATGTGGAAACATCCTAAATGTCCTTCAACCCAGGAATGGATTGGTAAGCTGTGGTATATATATACCATGGAATATTATTCAGCCATTAAAGAAAATGGAGATTTTGCAGCATTTGTACTAGCCTGGATAGAGGTAGAACAGATTATTTTTAATGAAGCATCACAGGAATGGAGAAGTATGATTCCTATGTATTCAACTTTGATATGAGGACAATTAATGACAATTAATGACACAGTGGGGCATAGGGGAAGGAGAAGGAGGAAGGGGGTGAGAAAAAGGAAAAGAAGAAAAGAAAAAGGAAAAGAAAACAGTGACTAATTCTCACATAAATTGGATTTAATTTTGACCAAAGTACATTACTTAAACATTAATTTTTAATTCAACTGGTTAATATGTTGTTTAGGATATTGCATCCTCATTTATAAGTGAAATATGTTTGTAATTTCCCCTTTATAATAATGTATTTTATCCAATTTTAATATCAGTGTATCCAGATTAAGTAGAATAATTTTGAAGTATTTCTTCTTTTTCTATTGTCTATAAGATTTGGCATGATATGATTTCTGAAATTATCTTTTACTTTTATTTATAAATATTAGTTGTCTGTTTTTTGAGACTTTGGAAAAAAATAATAAGAAAAAGTTAACTAATGACTCCATACTAAACCTCAGAGTCAAAGCATTCTATAATATACTCTTACTTGACAATCTTAATGTTAATTTCTTTGCATTACTATTATTATTATTATTGCTTAATATTTCAATGCAGCAATCGTCTGATTTCTTTTCTGAATGTATTTATATTCGTTTGTTCTTTACGAGGTTTTTCTTTCTAGTCCTTATCTTAAACATTGTTATTGTTATTAAATTTTAAGCCTTTCTAATTTTGTGAAGGCAAAAAGTGGAAACCTAGAAAAGAAAAAGATTCAGCAAAACAGAAAAAAAAAGAGCATAACTAGAAATAGAGCACAAATAAAACTATGAGAATTAAAATGTGGATAAACCAGAAATGTTGCTAATGTTTTCTCCAAACTTGACTATCGCATACCCATTAACAATTAAATGGGTAATTAAAATTTGCAAACACATAACACAATGCACATCAGCACAAAATAGTTTTATAGAGAACGTTCTTCAAACATTCAAAAATGAACTAATCATCACTTCTTGGCCTTCTGGCTAAGAGCAAGTGTAAAAATGAAATAATCAGAATCTCAAATGTGACCAAAATTTTAAAGGAAGTAATGTTCTCAAATGCCAACTTTTTTATGGGTTTACTACAACCTTGAAATCAAAATCATATAAGGAGAAATGAAGAAGGAAAAATGTAGGCCAACAAGAATCTATCCATTTACAAAGAAAACCTCTTGACTAAATTGAATTTGTCACAGGAATAAAAAATAGTTTAATGTTGGATTAATGGGCTAAATCATTTAACATTTGGTATCTTTTGAAACTTTACAGTGTGGCTGCATTGTATTAAAAATTCTCTGATGTAGTTTGCAAAAAGATGTTAATGGGAAAAACTTAGGATCATTTCATGAGATGCAGAAAAAAAATTTTTTTTTAATATTTAACATTCATTTAAGTAAAGAATTCTTAGAAAAAAAAAAAATTCAGCCTGCAGCCTGCCTAGCTTTCCTGCAATGCTAGACCCTGGGGCTCTCCCCTGACTAGCCTGCCTATCATGGCCAACAAGGAAGCAGCTTTGACCAGACTGTGGAAGAACGTGTAATCAGCAAGGAGTATAAAACATGGAAAAAGAACACCCTTTTCTTTGTGATTTGGTGATGACCAACACTCTGGAGGGGCCCAGCCTAACTGCAGGTTGACTTCCAGATGTAACCAACCAGAGAGAAAGAGTCGAGCATTCATTGACTTACCCTGGTGACAAACACATCACGGTGAACAAATCCACCTTGTGATAGACAGTGTGCAGCTCCCCATGACCGTGCCCAGTGTGATGTGTCACACTACCACAGTGAGGAGGGAGAATCTATGGTTCCGTGAGTGGGAACTAGAAATCAATCCGGGAACTAGAAATCAATAGTGAACTAGAAATCAAGATCAACCATGAAAAAGTAAACGAGGCCAGAACCCTTGCTTCACTGCAACAAAGACTTCATCCAGTGGTGGTCTTGTTCCTGACTATACAAAACATTCTTCTACACTAGACCCTTCTGGGGAGACTGCAATCCAGACTTGCATCTCTGTGGTCACCACATGAGGGCTATGGATTTTCTTGGAACCCAAATCTCAGTGGGAACATAGTGTTTCAGGTCAGCACACCGCCAGCGTGGTTGCACAGGAAGGAAAAGTGAGGGATGCAAAGAGCATCTTTACAGGGCATACAGCAGTAGTTGGAGATGTTTCCTGGCATTTGTTTCATGAGTCTCTGTTTGGGTCAGATGCTGATGATCAGACAGTTATGATTTGGGAAATGTAGTCACACTCAGCTGATCTCACGCTGCTGAAGTGTATGGCCTCTCTTTCAGTCCTTATAGTGAGTTCACTCTTGCCACAAGATCAGCTGACAAGACTATTTCCTCATGGGATTTAAGAAATCTGAAATGGAAGTTGCATTCCTTTGAATCTTATAAGGATAAAATATTCCAGCTTCACTGGCAACCTCACAGTGAGACAATTTTGGCTTCTTGTGGTACTGACTGCAGTCTGAATTGACAGGGATGTAAGTAAAATTGGAGAGGAATAATTCTTAGAAGACGCAGAAGATGGGACACCAGAGTTGCTGTTTGCTCATGATGGTCACACTGCCGAGACATCTGATTTCTCCTGGAATCCCCATGAAACTTGGGTGATTTGTCCTCGTTAGGAACACAGTATCATGCAAGTGTGACAAATGGCAGAGAACATTTATAATGATGAAGACCAGAAGGAAGTGTGGATCCAGAGGACAAAGGTTCTACATTTATCTCACTTATTTTGATTTTAGACTTTCCCTTTTCCCCTCTCAATCCTGGGATTGATTTAACACTGGTTTTTAGACACAGAGACTTTGGCTAATCCTCTGTAATACTTACTACCAACAATGCTGTTAACCCAAACAATGGGTGTTTTCTAAGTAGTAACTGGAGGACTTGATTCAGTAAAGCTGTAGACTTGCATTTAAATTTTCTTTCAGAATTCTGGTAGCAATCCCAGGTCCAAAAGTAGTTACAGAAAGGGAATATTATGTGTGGTGATTTTTCTTCTTAGACTGTATCTCCAAGTTTTGCACACTCATTTAAGTAAAGGCTAGAGCAATTTCGGACTAGAGCCAAAACCATGTTGGTGTCTGAGCCATGAAGTATACACTTTACAAGTTTTCATTTTTATTCAAGAAATAGGGGAGATGTAAATCATATAAATTCCTGCTTTAAAATCTTCACACCTGACTTCCCAGGATGCACATTTTCCTGTACAAACCAGTCTTGGTTTTGAACTTTATCTAAGTGGAATAATTTAATATGCGTTCTTTTTTGTCTGTCTTTTTTCATGGCACAGTTTGTTTTTTCTACTACATTTTTAAAACATCTCCTTTCTTTACCTTTATCATTTTGGCCTCTGCCAAAAATTTATACATTTATTCTTCAAGACTACCTTGGTTTTGAGCACAAATAAGCTGATGATGGAAGACAAACACGCTGGTTTTAAGTCACAATTGATTTGGACATTGATTACCCCTGAAACCACTAGTCTGATAATAACTAATATAAGGAGATGAATGGAAACAAATATAAAAAGGACATTTCTGTCAATCGTTATTTTGAGTGCAGGAGCCAATTGGATCTCACTTGTAACTGGTTCCTTTCTGCTCTGTAGCCTGAGAGGAAAAATAATCAGTGGAGAAAGGAAGGATCATTGGAGTTTATATATGATGATTTATGACAAGTGATTTATATAATCAGCAGCAATCAAATATTGTCCATAAATTATATACTTGAGAAGACAAATTTAAAAATATAATGAATTTATGTCAATGTTACTCTCCCAATAGAATGTTATGATTATCTTTTTTCCTTTTTGCTTACAGCAGAGCTTCTTTACACATTTCTCTTGTTTTGAGCATAGAGAACAAAATTCTCCTGTCTTGTAAGGGGGTGTATTTTGATAATTTCCTCTGTAAAAAAGAGAGACATAGATTAGTCAATTAACTATTAAATTCCTTATTTTAGTGTATGCATTTATGCAAGTCGTGATCATTCACTAAGTCATGAATGTTAAAAAGGAAAAATAACCTTTGTCCCAATTTTATGTTCATTTCTTCTGTGAAAAGAAACTATTAAAACTGTTATTTACACATGGCAGTTAGATTCTTGAATATTCTGTAGATCACCAATTAGATGCTAGCCTAATGTAATTATTCCTACGATAGCCACAAAGATTTTTGTCATAGACACAATGATTATTTCTTAGTTTTGTAAATGGAATAAGTAAAATTGAAATTACAAATGAGTTAAAAGTACGGTATAGTGGTTTCATCTGGTTGTATTTGATGATATAGCAAAAAGTTTGACAGCTATTAAGCTTGGATTTCAGTAATATAACCCAATACATTTTAACAAACCTCTTCATTTCTATGAAGCTTAGAAATGTTCTTTGTCAGGTTGTTTTGACTATTCTAAGTAAGCAAAGAAAAACATAATAATATGAGTAGCATTGCCTTAGACATAAGAATATGTCACAAGAGTATGACAAAATTTACTTTATCCATTCATCTGTTGATGGACATATGGGTTGTTTGAGTTTTTGGTTACTACAAATAAAGTTGCTGTGAATATTTCGAGCGTTCATGCATAAGTTTTTACATGGGCACAGATAGAACAGTGTGAGAATTCCAGGTCCTTCACATTATTTTTGGCACATAAAATCCTATTGTCTAGCCATTCTAATCATTGTGTAGTGGAATTAATTATAGCTTTAGTTTGTATTTCCCTAATGACTAATGATGTTGAGCGTTTCTTCATGCGCTTATTGGCCGTTCATGTATCTTCCTTGTTGTTTTTGTGGCAATTATTAAGATTAAGTTTGACATTTTCGTAGTGGTGAGTTGTGAGAGTTCTTTCTATATTTTCAGTATAAGTCTTTTATTTGATATGTTTTGTAGGCTTTCTTTGAGTATGTGGCTTGAATTTTCATTTTCAGAGCAGTGTATTTGAATACAAGTTATTTTCACTTTTAGTGACATATAATTTATCCATTTGTTCTTTTATGTATCGTGATTTTGGTATGGTAGTTAAAAAAATCTGTGGCTACCTAAAGGTCACAAGCATTTTTGTTAATGTTTCCTTCTAAAGTTTTTTATGGTTTTAGGTTTTACACTTAGGTCTTTGAAATGGATTCATTTCTCGTTAGCTTTTGCTTATAGTGCAGATCTAAGTTATTTTTTCCCATATGATTATTACAGTACCATTTGTTGAAAAATATTTTTGCACTGCATTGTCTTTGTGCATTTGTGAAAATCAGTGCAATGTATGTGGTTAAACACGTGGATGTATCGCTGGACTCTGCTTTCTGTTCCACTTATCTATTTGTCTACCTTTACACCAATATGACAATGTTGTGATTATTCAGTGGTTTTATTAATTCTTTTTTGTTTGTTTGTTTTATTAATTCTTGAAAAAAATGAACATAATGTAGTATTAGCCCTTCAAGTTTGTTCTTTGTCAGGTTGTTTTGACTATTCTAAGTCCTTTAAATTTCTATGGGAATTTTCTGGTCAGTTTATCAATTTCTACAATTAAATCCTGCTGGGGTTTTTATTGGGATTTTACTGAATTAAATCAATTCAGAAAAAAATGGCATCTTAAAAATGTTAATCTTTCACTGAGATTCACTTTCATAGGTGCACTTTGGTGTGGGTCAATCTGTGCCAACCTGGTTTGAGCACATGCGTTTGTTTTTCCATTCTGTGAAGTTTCACTTAGAAACTGGTTTACAGTTCCATCTAGGTTGTCACAAAAGATGCTAAACCTCCATTCTTAATGGCTGAGTAAATACTCCACAGTATGCATATACCACATTTTATTAATCCATTCATGTACTGGAGGGCACTTGGATTGTTTCTGTATTTGTGATTGTGAACTGTGCAGCTATATCATACAAGTGCAAGTGTCCTTTTTATAAAATGACCTTTTCCCCTTTGGATATATACCCAGCAGTGAGGTTGCTGAGTCAAATGGCAAGTCCACTTTATGTTCCTTGAGGTATCGCCATATGATTTTTCTTAGAGGTTGTACTAGTTTGTAGTCCTGCCAACGGTGTATCTATAAGAGTTCCTTTCTCTCCACATCTACACATCTGTTATTTTGGGGTTGGGATTTGGTAAGCTCCTTGGATCTGTGAGTTTATAATTTTCATTAAGTTTGGAAAGTTAGGGGCCATATTTATTGAAGCATTTTTCTATCCCAAACCCCTTTCAGGAAATAAATTTCCACTACTCTTGTTTTCACAACTAACTAATGCACTTTTTATCCTTTTTGTATTCCTTTTTCCTCTGTGGATTCCATTTGGATACTTTTTATTGTTATACTTTTTAATTTGCTAATCTCTTATTGTGGTATGTCTAATCTGCAAATAAACTCAATTAAAAAAACCTCGAATACTGTAGATCTGTTTTTAATATCTTTAATATCTCTGCTTAACTTTTGAAAACATTGAATATAACTATTTTAATGCCTTTCTCATACTATTATGTGTCAGTTCTGCATCAGTTTCAAGCAATTGATTATCCTCCTAATTATAAGTCTTATTTTTCTGCTTCTTTGCGTGCCTGATAGTATCTGATTAGATGTAAGACGTTGTAAATGTTAGGAGCTCACTATTACACATTTCTATAATTCTACTTGAGGGTGTTGTTTTTTTGAATGCAGTTAAGTTACATGGGAACATTTTAATCTTTTCAGATTTCAATTTATGAATTGTTAGGCGGGTCCAAAGCAGTCATGTTCTACTGCCTGTGTGAGAGCCAGAAATTTTTCTTACATGAACTTGAACTGTATAGGTTTTCCTCAACTCTTAGCTCATTTCTTCAACTCAGGGAGTCTGTCAGCCTCTGCCTTAGTTCCCTGTCCATGCCATGGCCTGCAAACTCTCTCAGTGAGGACATTGAAGCAATTACAGGGCTAACTTTGTTTTTCCTGTTTCTCGGAGATCACAGCCCTTTGTTGTATGATAACTCGTTTCTTCAAAACAGATGCTTTATATATTGTGCATGTTTTCTTTTCTTGGTTGTTGTTTCTGTTGGTAGGGTGTGTTGGCCCCAATCACTTAGCCAGGAGTGACAAAACAATATTCTTTTATGTTTCTGAAAGGCCTATAAGAAATGGGCTATGTACATGATTTGTTTCAACCCCCAAATCTGTCTTATTCAAAGCAACATGGTGTTTTACTGCAACATGAGTCTTAATCTGCTATTAATTATTTTTGTCTTTCTTCTTCAGATTCAGTGATTAGTCTTGTTGAGAGAAACAATGGTAATAAGTAAGTGTCAGCAGTTCTGCAATTTATCTTGTATTTATAAAAATTATATTCTGCCCCAGGCTTTGAGGTTGTGTAGTTATCTTTTTTTTGCTTCTGAGAAGCAGTGTAAGAAAATATGGACACACACACACACACACACACACACACATTTCTCTCTATAGTAATCTTGGTATATCTCAGTTCCTTTTTGCCAATCCTGTGTGTTTGCTTTTTGTCTTTGTTTTTATCTTTTTACATTTAATTTTTTTAAATTGTTATTTGTTGAAGAGTTGGGCTATTAATTATTTCATATTTTTCATAGACAGATCCATCAGGATTAAAGTCCTAGAATTTAACTTTTGGATCCTCCTTTTAGGCATAAGCTGTATTTCCATGTAAATATGCAATTATCAATGAGACAGTTAAAACTTCTATTATTCATTTACTAAGATAATACATTTTACCATCATTCTTAATCATTTTTTCATTGCATTTATGTTATATTAGAGAGGTAAACACCAACTATTTTGTGTTTAAATATTTAGATATTACGTAATGTTTATCTCTTTGTTTACTTAACAGTCTCCGTCTTTTTCATTCTAAAGTTTAGATATTTTATGTCAGATATAGCTCTTCTTTACACAAGACGATATTCTATCACTTCTTCTATTTTCACATTTTTCATTTTATTAGCATTGTATAAGGGAGACTTATCAAAAATTAGTTTGTGTCTAGCATAAGAGCCTGTTCTTAGAAACCATCATTAATGTTAATTTCAGTTTAAAATGTTTTTGAAAGAAAAATAACTTACGTAGGTCCATAGTTGCATATAAATACTACAGTTGAACCTCCAAGGTTAGGACACTTGGCGACTGCGCAACCAATTTTGTATGTATTGGCCCACACTACCTATAAGGAATATAATATGCAAAACGAGTCTATGTATATTAACGTTGGTATAGCATAATCTTTGTCATATTAACAAAAAATACATAAATATTTATTGCAATTTTGTGTAATTTCTAATATTTGGTTTAAAATGATTATTTTAATGCTATTTTCATGAGGGCTACTTAGCTAGTTTTTCATAACTGAAAATTCTTATAAATCAAAAGAAGATATAATACAAAGCCAAAACATAGTATACAATATAGCCAAAATTATAATTTATTTCTAGGTGATTTGTGAAATATATTTTAATTCTCTCTATGGCCTTATCATACTAACAATATCAAAGTAATACTACAAATAAAGACAATAATTTACTTTTGTTTTTCTCAGAAAAGTTCTACAAAATTTATGATAACATTTTACATTTTAAATTTTTGGTATTAGCCATATTCTCACCTTTCTCAAGTTACAAGAGACAGGTAAGAATTAAGAACATATTGAGATGATTTTAAAAAATGCATTCCATAAGGATGGTAAATATTTTAATTTAGTTATAAAGAATAGTAAAGTTATTCAAAAGGAAGATGACTCCAATGAAAAACTAGCCACAGGAGAGCTATAAAGAGGTGAAGAACATGAGAAGTCCTTTGTGATAATGATTTAGAATAAATTTTTCTTCTTTTTCCAAAAGAACAAAGAAAAAATACTGCTTTTTCCCCATCTAAAAAATAATCCAAGAAAATTTGATAAAGAATAGATTTTGACACCACATTTTCTGAACTCATTTATTTTATGCTTCTATTAGCAAAATGTATTAAACTAAAGTGTGTATTAGTCACTTTTTTCAATGGCCTTCTTATAGCCAGAATCAATAATTTTGCAAAACATTTTAATGGCTCTTTGGTTGCCTGGGAGGCAACAATGTGCAATGAAAAGCACAGTAAACTGAGATGTGAGCAAGGAGCTCTGCAAGAAGGCAGACGTTCGAGGGAAGAGTACTGAAGAGGTGAGAATTGTACAGTGACACACTGTGACATCTGCAGAAGGCCCTCAGCACCTGCTCACAGAGTACATGTCATAGCATGCATGTGAACAAAATAGTCTGGGCTTGGGGAAGAGTCACCTATCAATCAGAACTAAAGGAAACATACTACGAAAATCAAAGTTATTAAATAAAAATATAAAGAACTAGAGAAAACAATACCAAGGTTTACGCAAAGCCAGGAGTCTCTAAACTGGAAAACTTCATAATTATTAAGGCACTGGGTAGAGTATGAGGAATAATCTTGCCTCTGTATTGACGCTATCCTAAACACAGCTTTCCTTCTGCTTCATATATTTTAACTATAAGCAGACAACAAAAGGATCAAATAAATTTCGGGTAACTTAACTATCCCCCAGAAGACAAATCAAGTATATTTATAGGTACACAAATAAATCTAGCACTCAAAAAGACAAGAGTTACAATGTTGGGAGTATAATAAAATTTACTCAACACGATAAAAGGCAGAAAAATTTGATTCATAATGAAGTAAAAAATCAATCCATTAAAACTAATCCAGAGCTGCCGCTGATGCTTAAAATATTAAAATAATCATTATAACTGTATTCTATATGCTTAAAAAGCAAGACAAAAGATCAAGCATACTAGGTACATTCATTGAAGATAATTTACAAAACCCACAAATCAATAAATATTATAGAAGAAGAGTGAACTTAAGGGCATAGCAATAAATGTACCTGAAATTAATCACATAGAGAAAAAATTCAAGACGTAGAGTCAAGAGTATCAATTAACTGTGGAACAACTTCAAGTGGCTTTTTGCATAGGTGACTAGACTCCAGGAAGAAAAAATAGAAAAAAAAAGAAAGAACTATTTCGAGAAACAATAGTGAATTTGGCTTAATTACAGAATTAGAACTCCAAGAACGCCAGGAAGAAAACTATATGGTAAATTGTTATCAAATTCCTCCAGATCTATGGTAAAGGAAAATATTTAAAGCAGTAAGTTAAAAAAAAGACACTTTTCATACGAAGGATTAAATAATACGGTTACAGAATAAAATACTTTTTGTTGGAAGCAATGCAAGTAAGATGACAGTGGAGAAAGCTTTTCATGTTCAGAAAAACAAACTCACTATATAGAATTCTATTCCTGGTAAAAATATCTCCTAAATAAAGATGAACTTTTTTGAGACTAAAAGGAAACTCAGAAGAAAATACCAAAAAAAATTTGTCTTGTGATGGAAGTGAGCACAAATAAGAACCAATTCATAAGATATCAAAGATTTACCTGTGTATAATGTCCACAAACTTTGGAACATGACAGAGTCTCAAAATTATAAAATGCAGTTTCATTGTACCAACTATTAACGGCAACGTGTGGTGAAAAACCGCCTTCTCCACCTGTCCATAAATTTTCTCCGACAAATGCAAAACCTGCGTGACATCCATTTGCTACGTCTAAACAGTCATTATGTGCTATTTTGCACTTGTGTGCCCATGCACTTGCTGTCTTTGCTAAATTTTTGTCCCAGCCCTGAAAGATAAAAATAATTTAAATTTAATTGTGCGTATTTATTTACATTAAATTACTATAATAACTGTAATCAATTACACTTCACTTAGATTTGTTATTTTAATAAAATATAGTTTTCTTTTGGTATTTATAATGTTCACAGTTAGTCTTTTTTTTTTTTTTTTTTCAGTTCTAGTCCAACGTGTGGCCTGTCGGCACATGCAGATTATGTGAGGAATTTTTTGCTTACCTGTGGGGTCAGATTTTGCGAAAACAAGTGTTTTTCCTAGGTTATTTCCTAAGACTTTTATGGTTTCAGGTCTTACATTTAATTCTTCGGTCCATCTTGAGTTAATGGATGGCATCCAGTTTCATCCTTCTGTATGTGGCTTGCACAAAAATCCTTTAGATTAAGCAGAGTGCCTTACTATTTATTTGCCTTAACAAAAAAGTAGTTCTCTGTCCACTTTTCATTGAACAATCTTCCTTCATTTGTCATTTTTCTTTTTGGGGGGTCTATTTTCTTTTGAGACATTGTAGAAGGCCTTGCTAGGGTTAAAATATAATGATAGATAAGGGACTAAGTGCTACAGGCGTATGAACCACCACCAAAGCATGTAAATACCCTTAATAACCAAATAAGAATACTTACCTTATGTCTAAATAATATTAAATGCCTAACGTTGCAATGGTAGGTTAAAATACTATTGATAATCTCTGCCTTGCTGTGTGACTGCCAACACATACAATGTCTGATGGCTTCACTGATTGGCTTGGAAGGTAACACAAGAAAGCTGCCCACTGTGGTAAAACTGAAGCCACGTATGTGTACCATAACAGGAACATACATATGTTTACCTTACATAACATTGTGACATGACATTGTCATCTACAAAGTTCACATCTGAGAACTGTGCAATCAAGTTCCACCAAAACAATCACAAAAAAATCTCATAATGTTTTAATTAAGTTTATGATTTTGAGTTGGGCTGCATTCATAGCCATCCTGGGCTACATGTGGACTGTGGTTGGGCACGCTTACTCTAGACGTGAAAATATTCATAATTAACTTGTCATGGTCTACCTGGAAATATTATGGTAACTGTTAACAAGGAGTGTAAGGAACCTTTAACAGAATACTTCTATTTACCTCCACTTCATTCTTTGTGCTTTGGCTATACTGCCTTTTGCTTCTTCATCATTATAAACTCCAAAATACATTGGTATTACGTTTATTTTAAATAGTCGATGTTATGAAAGAAATATGAAGAACATGTATATTTAATCCCACATTTACTCTTTTTATCATACTATATATAATGAACTTCTTTTAAGAGATATAACTGATATCACTATTAATACTAGCATTTATAAGTTAGTCATTATATATTTAAATATTTTAACATTCTGCATTAAAGATATCAGTTTATTTTTGTTTTACTTATCAAACCTTTTTGAAACTACCTCCCTCTCAAAGTATCATTTTCCCATACACTTCCTGTGCTATTTTGAACTTATTTTAGTGCCTGAGTTGTAATTTTATAATTACTTCCATTTTTTTTTCTGTTGGATAGAAAGGACAAAAACTGGAATAGACATTAATTACGATGTATCTATAGCTACCTAATATATAAAATAGACTAATATCAACACTTTTGTTCATAATATCACATTTACAAGCAAGAAAAAGTTCTAATGCAAGGGAAATATCCAGAAGTCCAATTCACTCAGAAGTTGTTAAAAACTGGTAATTTCTGCAGATTATTTTAGTAATCCAATGTTCTTCATCTTTAGACTTTTAATGGAGTACTTACTTATGTCTTACTGACTATATGATGGAGGTCTACAAAAGATACAACCAGTTCAATGTTTTTAGAATTAAATTTCAGAGTTATTACATTTTATGAGCGTGACCATCTGGTATTGTTCAAGTGCTGATTTCCTTATTTGCATCCTTAGAGCTATTTTTTTTTCAAATGAAAATTATACATGGTAGTTTTTTCCTTGGGTTCATATGATTTAAAAATAGGTATGCAAATAAGAGGATCTCCATCCCTGTGCTACTTCTTTTCTATCAAGTATTTTGGTTGTATGGGATGAGTAGTACCCGCTAAAAAGTGGGGCAAAACAAAAAACCAGGGTGAATTACATAAAATACCTTAGAGGTGAAAACCAAGTAACTTCCAAACACAGCCCCTTCCATACCACACCTGCCTTGACCCCTGGCCAAGAGACTAAGTCCTAGTCAAGGAGCAGCTTCAGATTTTCCTCCAGACAGCTCAGAGGGTGATTTCTGTAAACAAACCAACAAAATGGGAGGCGCCTGTGGCTCAAAAGGGTAGGGTGCTGGCCCCATATGCCGGAGGTGGTGGGTTCAAACCCAGCCCTGGCCAAAAACTGCAAAAAACAAACAAAAACACCCCCCTGCATGGATAGGCTTGTGCTGTGGCTCACTCCTATAATTCCAGCACTCCGGGAGGCCAAGGCAGGAGGATCTCTCCAGCTCAGGAGTTAGAGAGCAGGAGTTAGAGAGCAGCCTGAGCAAGAGTGAAATAGAACCTCTATTGAAAATAGAAAAATTAGGGGGGCATTGTGGCAGGTGCCTGTTGTCTCCGCTATTTGGAAGGCTGAGGCAGGAGGATCATTGAGTCCAGGAATTTGAGATTGCTGTGAGCTAGGCTGACCTGGCACTCTGGACAGGTGACAGAGTCTGTCTCAAAAAAAAAAACCAAAAAAAAAAAAAACCCCAAAAACAACGACGACAACAACAACAACAACAAAAACCCACTGCATGTATAAAGTCCAAACTAAGTAAACTACAATAAATCTGCGGAATATATCGCCCAAATACTTCAGGATGAACCTGACCTGGAAGAACCCAGCCCGTTCTTTCTCACCATGAATTTCATGTCGGCCGCAGGAGGGCTGACTTGGCGCCTCAAGCTGTTGTGGGCATCCACACACTCGTTTATAAATGTGGTGTCTGTGATGGATGGGAGTGCGGAAGATTTACTGGCCATCAGAAACAGACCTAAGGTCCATAAGCAACTAAATTCCATCTTGACAGCCACGGGAGGATGCCCAGGATTCCCTGACGGAGTAACCAGTAACGGCTGCCCTGGGCCTCTGGGTGCACGCCTGCCCTGGTGCTGCCCTCCAGCGCGGACTGGAGACCAGCCTGGGAGAGCTGGGCCTAGGGGGGGCAGGGCTGCCAGGGGCTACAAAGCCCTCGGCTACAGGGGAAAACCCTTAGTCGCCCTCTGGTGCAGGGAGTTTGAACCGTCCAAACCGTTTTCTCGGATCCAATCTGTAGTTAAGGCAGAGGGTGCCTGGAGGGTAATCCAGATTGCAACACACGGGTGACACAGGGTTAGGTAAGGAACAGGAACAGCCGTTAACGATGGGGCAGGCCTGTGCAAAGCACTACAGATTAGTTGCATAGAGCCAACTTCTGTGTGTAGCTATTCTTAATACATTTTATATATATTTTAAGTAAATGGCAGCACCATATTGCCCCTTTCCTCAGAGGTTGGAAAAAGATAAGAATAGTTAAATAAAAAAAAAAAAAGAATAGGTAAATCATATACTAAGTTACATGCTATGCACTAAAATTATTAACTGGTTAAACATTTAACAATTTGCTGCTATTTTTTCATCTGAAAGAGACTGAATACCTTGGAAGGTAAAAATAGATCCTCTAAAAGGAAAAAGCAGATCCTCTTGACCAAAGCTTCCTTTTTGTTAGTTTGGATGATATGCTAAAGATGAAGACAGGGTACATTCGACTGCGTACTTGATCTACCTTGCACTAGAAATCAACTTCATTTGACTTAATCCATTATATCAGTTATATTGTTATTCAATAAGAAACCAGCACTTTTTTCCCATGATATTAAATGACATTTTTCAGCATTTCTGAGGTTCAAATAAGTAACTTCAGTTAATCATTTGTGTTTTTACACAGTGCCATTTAATTCAAGTGAACATATATTTACATCTACAAAACACTCTGTCATGTCAATTGACCTTGCTACTAAAAAGAAAACAAACAAACATTTTGCAAAACTGTTAACATTTTTTAATAAAAAGCAGAAAATTAGATTATAAAATGGGGCAAATCCAGTATCTTAATGGAAATTTTCCTAGGAAAAGCTGTGTGTGCTACTTTAGTACCTCACACACAGCTCAAACTAGCTTCTGATATTCCATACCCCAATGTACATACAGACATAGACTTATGTACATGTATATATACCACATGTATATATGTCTCTACATAGAAGTACTTGAAGGGATATATACATATACAGAAAGAAATAGATATATATGGGGGTAGGGAGATAGAGATTTTAAGGAATTGGCTCACTTGATTGTGGGAGTCACAATATGAAATGTGAAGTCCTGAGTATGGCCCACAAGGCACTACATAATCTAACCATGCCTAGCTCTCTGGCTCCTTCCTTGCTTTCTCTCTTACCTCACTCTGCTTCAGCTGCATCTGTCTGTTTAACAAGGATGCTCTCGTCTCAGCCCTTCTGTACTTGCTGTTCATTTCCCGTGCGATGCTCTTGCACAACTCCCTTCATTGCAATCTTCCTTGATCACTCTACATCAGCATGCACCTTGAACAGGTACTAAACTTGTAGACCCTCAATAAAATCTATTGAATGAATGAATAAAAAATGAATGCTCTTTAATTTTCTAATAAAATTGCATACAATTATAAGCCTCTTGAGAGCAGAAACTACATCTTACCTGTTACATACATATATGCAAGAGGCTCAATACATATTTTTGAGGGAGGAGGGAGGGCGAGTGGCAGGATCTCACCTAATATGCACAATGTGAGAGTGTTTCGGTACAACTCCTGGGTGAAGGACTCAACTACAACTTGAACCTTACCTTAGAATTGAAAACAATGTAATCTAAACTTTACATATCAATTTGAAATAAGAAAATTACATCAATATGAAATACTAAATATGCACAGAATCTCATCTGCAATATTAATATTAATAAAATAATCTTGCTTGTGTAAAAATAAATAAATATTTTTCATTCAATAACTTAAAAAGCAATACTGGGTCAGTTTGTAAGTTTTATCTTTCCTAACATTGGGTATATTGGCAGATAGTAGGTGTTCAGTGGATGTTTATTGAATACATGAATGAATGAAAAAGTAAATGAAAACTTAAAGTAAAAGTTGAGCTTCAAGTACAACGTTTTGGATCTGCAAAGTAATGAAAGTTAAACATCTAGCTAATGTAGATTTATTTAGTGTATAAAGAAATTAACTGGTTCTAACAAGGACAGAAATTTCATAATGAATTTAAAATTAGCAAAAAATTATTATACATACAGTGAACACACAATTATTACTCTTAAACAGATGTTTTAACAAAATGCCTGAATTGAATAAGTGTATTTTTTTGGATCATGGTCCCAATGGCTTAGACAGTTATATTCAGAACACTGAAACAATTTAGTATACAAAGGCTAAGTATCAGGAATAGACAAGGACATGTCCTAATGTTATTATCTTGTATATCTATTTATGGAATGGCCAAGGTTAATCTGTCACCAGATTTTTTTTTTACAGTCACTGATAAATTTTTAACAGTTAAAGTTTAGTTTTTTATTTACTATTGTGTGCTTCCCCCGTCCCCACAAACACACACACACTCTACATTTGTTTTTCTCTCTATGTGTGGATGCATTTTATAAAGTAAAATGGAGAAATAGAGTGATTACAATATACCAATTGAATCCACTATTTTTATACTTTAAAAATGTGCTTGTATTTCAATTCCCAAACCAGATCCAGTCTACACATTTTGATACATTTTGATATTGTTTGTATGTTTGGCTTTTCCAAACCTCATGTTGAAATTTGATCCCGAGTTTTGGAGGTGGGGCCTGGTGGCAGGTGTGTGGGGAGGGTCAGATCTTTCTTGAGTGGCTTGGTGATCTCTCTGAGATAATGAGTGAGTTCTCCCTTCATTATTTCAGCAAGAGAGCAGCTTTTTAAAAAGTGCGTGGCACCACCTACTTCCTCCTTTGCTCCTGCTCTGCCTGTGGGTGGGAGGAGCCTACGCCTTCACCGTCCACCTTGATTAGAAACTTGTCGAAGCCGGTGCCAGAACCAGATGCTGGTGCCATGGTCCCGTGCTTCTTGATCAGCATGCAAAGCCCTGAGCCAAATTAGCCTCTTTTTTCTGTGTATTACCCAGCCTCAGTTATCCCTTTATAGCAATGCAAAATGGACTAACGTATTTTCCAGAGAACTAATTTTGAAAAGTTACTGCAAACTAGAAAAACAATACGATTATGTGGGAAGAGAACTGGATTAGGCTTCATAGGATCTAACTTCTATTTGGGTATCTGACACCTGTGTAATTTAGGAAAGTTAGTATGTGAGGAAGGGGTGTATATCCTCAGAAATATTTCAAACCATTTCTTCTTCTTTACGGATGAGGAGATGTTACCCAAAGACAGTGTGTGCCAAATAAATTGCCAGAGTGAAGAATAAAAGGGAAATTTCCTGATTTCTAGGCCTGTCTTCTGCATTATATCATTTTCAATTATAATTCTATGCACATATATACATGCACACACGTATTATATGTAATTATGTATGAAATCATCTGTATGTAATATATTCACACATATTTAAAGTTATAACTATATATTTCATATACTAAGTTTTGTGTTTTTAAATAAGTGCATGCTCCTTGAAGAGGATATTACAGAATATTCTTAAATTTTTATCCCTCTCAAAATATCAGTCCGAGCCCTGGGCATCAGATAGGGATAGGTGTTCTGTGGAATATTAAATAGGATTCAATCCTTCGTGGATCCGGGCCGGGCTTTGTCCTTCTCCCCGCGCCCCAGAAGCACAGATGAGTGAGTTCGCTCCAGCTCCGCGCCGCGCTTTAGGGGCGCCATGAAGCCGCACCCAGGAGCCTCTGGCTGCGCAGAAGTGTCGCGGTTTGGGGGTTTTCCAGCAAGTAAGTCTGAGGGTGTTGAGCGTCCACGCGAAGGAACGGGGGACACAATGAGGGGGAGGGGGAGGCGGTAGGTGGAGTGAAAGGAGCAAGGGACTTGGTCAGACGACCTTTTTTCCCTCGAGAAACGAGAAAGAGCGAGGAGAGAAGCCTGTTGCCAGGCAACTTGCAGACGCAGCCGGGACTGTCCAGACCTTTTCGGAATGGTCCTCCAGCCTGTCCTGTGGAGGTTCTGGTGGCAGCGCCCTCCTATAAACTTGCACAGCTTGTTAGGTCCTTTCCTTTGGCTGCCCACTGTGTCCCTCACCTTGGGGAAATACCAGATAATAAGAAGGGAGTAGGAAATTCTTTCCTTTTGGTACATCGTGGGTGCTCTGAAGTATAATTTGGGGGGAACGGATAGGAGAGCGAGGAGGGTTACTCTGCTTTGTTTAAAATTAGGAATGACCTCAAATTCAGTTCAGAGACCTGCGTCTGATCACCTGGGATCCACAGTAGACTTGGTCGCTGCCCTCATGGAGCTTAAATACTAAATTGTATCTCTTTCCTTCTCTCTTGTTTTCTGAGTTGGATTAGATCAGTTTATTCTGTGCTTTCTGTTATATTCTGACTTGGTATAAGTAATATTAATAGCTACTAATATCATGCATTGAGAGAAATGATGATAATTGCAGTGGGAAATAATCATTCTTAAAAAATGGGGGAAGAGGGAAGCAGACTCCATTCTCTTTGGTAGCACTAAGATGTCAGCTGACAATAATTTATTAATGCAATGACATCTCATGACTTGCAGCAGTTTGAGTGGGGACACAAGCCATTTAGAAGTGTTCATTGCTCCTCCTGCCACCCCCAACTCCCAACATATTCCAAATGGATATTCAGTGCTTTAGGACAAGGGCAGCCCTGGGCATGTGTTCCAAAGACTGGCCTACAGCCGTTTCTTTGGAATGCTGATTCTTGCGCACCAGGTTTAGGTTTCTAGTATTCATTGGCCTCTGCAGCTAATTAGTTACCCTCTGATTTTTCTACCCGCTGTTCCAGTGAGGATACAGTATACCGGAAGAAAGTCTAAAAACTGTCTATGAACTCAGGTTCTGCAATAATTGGCAAGCAGTTTGGCCAAGTGAAATTCACTTTTCTGGATCTCAGCTTGCTCAGCTTTAAAATCAGAAGTCTGGGCTGTTTTATTTCTGAAGCACTGCCCAACTCCTAAGATTTTCTAAGTAGGGTGTCCGTGGCCTGACTGCTTTAATTCTATAAATCCTTTAGTGTTCCATATATGATGGCATTGTCTTTTGAATAATCTTACTATATCTGCATAAAGCATTTTTCTACTAAAAATTCTGAATTAACTTACATCTGAATTGACTGCATTCATTTCTTTAACAAATATTTATGAAGTCCTTAGTCTTTTTTAGGTTTTGTGAGTCCTGAGAGATATAGTGAGTAAAGCCAGTAGTCCTGGCCTTAGTAAGGTTACAGTCTTGTATTAAAGACTGACGACTATCGTTCAGTGCTTCAAACACCTTATCTAATTGTTTGAAAAGGGAATTAAATGTTGGCCTTATTATCATGTCATTACGTACAGGGAAGTGAAACTAAGAATATGCTAAAACGTACACATGCATTTGGCTATGCATTAATTTATTTGTTGACAAAATAAATATTTATTAAGTAACTATGCTATATTAAGGGCAGGAGATACCATCCATTTTGGTCTTGGTCATTTATTAGAGAAATGAAAAGCTAATTACAGTGAAGAGTGATGGCTGTCATGACTGGGAAAGTACAGGGGCCAGGAGAACCAGGACATTTGAGGATTTAACTTTTGCCATTTTATTATTTGCAAATGAATTATTGTGACCTAAAGTAAAGTAGGGTGATTTTGAAATGGCTGCAATCATTGCTAAGCTGTAAATAATTGAGAGGCTGATATGTGGGGAAAATCACTGTAATAATTGCTCAACATACCTATCTCAGCTTGGGTTCATTACCTGTAATTATCGTGGCAAACATAGTAACTCCTACGATTAATCAAATAACAACCCAATCTCCAAAACAAACAAATCCCCAAACAAACCGGTAGCAACTTTCAAAACAGTTATTTCCTTATGAAAAATGGCTCTGAAAAGACAGCTGTTTATGGAACTATAGTAGTATTTTCAAATATCATGATATGTAATATTTTCAGACTAGGTCTACTGTTAGTTGGTTCACTTCTCTTCTTGATTCTTAGAGTTGAATTCCAGACTGAAGGCAAGAGTTTGAGGGGAGGGGTGGTCTGCAGATGAAATGAAGAAACACTCTGTACATCAATTAGTAAGGAACTGGGGTATCTTTCAGGTAAAAAGTTTTCATTGGGGGGAATGAAATAAAAATACCTTTTAATAATGACGATGACTACCATTTGTTGGTTGTTACATTATTTCAGCAGGATAAGAAAAGTGCTGACATTAAATTCACTTTACATATTAGAAACATTGCCTCAGAGAGATGAAATTCTTAAGCTTAA